TATGATTAGCCGTCGTCCAAACCAAGTCTCCGAAGCACATGCCATCCTGGACCGGGGCGACGCAACGGACTTCGGACGTGGAGGTGGCCTGCCCATCAGCGTATCATGGATGCACTCAAGTCTACCTTTACCGGGTGACGGCATCATGTAGCAGTCGTGTTATCATCATGAGTCTTTCCGAGTTTTTATCATAAATCTGAGTCTGTCTTCCAGGCTCATTGTATCGCGTGAAGAGGCAACGACATACGGCGGCAGGACGATGTGCAAATGAACGAGCACTTCTCACAGATATTTAGAGGTATGCATAGCAGAAACCTTTCTCTTCAGAAGAATATAAAGCCGCCACAAAGTCAACTTTGCGAAGACCGTACTAATAATAAAGAGAAATAGCCTTCAATCCGTAACCACCTCGTCGTCGCACCTTGTCTTTTTGATCCTCTAGTGATGTTCGATTTAGGGAGAGAGGGAGATGCAGCCGGCGGAGCTGTCCTCCTGGAAGATGCCACCGTAGATGATACCCTCGTTGATGCCAGTGGGCTGGTCACCGCTCTTGGTGATGTCGGAGCCACCGTTGACGGGCTTCTTGAGCATACCGAAGTGGTACTGGCCCTGGCCGGCGATGTTGTTGGTGACAGCGGCGCCAGTGGACTTGAGAGCGGAGTTGCCCTGGGAGTAGAAGACCTCGGTGGTGCTGAAAGCCATGTTAGCAACGAGACCTAACAATTAAATGCGTGAGTTGAGAGGGGAACATACTTCTTGGTGAAGTCGAGCTTGATGGCAAAGTTGTGGAAGACACCGGCAGTGAACTTGGTCTTGAAGAGCTCGGGGACGGGGCTGGAGTTAACGTTGCCGAAGAGCTGGAGGGTATCGGGGTCGGCAGTGTTCTGGCCGAGGATGGTACCGGTCTTGAGGACGACCTGGTTGGTGCTAAAGTCGGCGCTCTCGAGGAAAACGAGCTGGTACTCGTGAGACAGGTTCAGGGGGCGCTGGGCATCCTTCTGGAGGGAGAAGTGCAGGGTCTTGATGCCCTGGGTCGAGGCATCCTTGCCATCGTTGCTGAGGGGCAACATCTCGGCGCGGCGGAAGCCGACCTGGACATTGGTCTCGCTAGGGGCGAAGATGGACTTGTCGTTGATGGTGACCTCGAAGGGCTGGGTGGAGTTGACGTCGAACTGGAGGAACAGGTGTTAGGTCAAAAGCACAATGCGTAGAAGACAATCCGGGGTACCCAATCGGGTTCCAGACTGCTTTGCTTTCAGGTTATAACGTACCAGAGAGTTGCCGCCGGGGAGCTGGACAATCTCGCTGAACTTCAGGCCCTTGCCGAACACGTTGGCGGTGTTGAAGGGGCTGGAGGTGCTGTCAAAGTCGGCAGCCTTGAAGGTCTTCGGGATGCGGCCATCGAACTGGAGGGCGCACTGGGCCTTGGCACCGGGCGAAACGGCGCCGGTGTTGTTCTTGGGGGTGGTGCCGTCGCAAGCGGCCGCGGCGGCGGCGACGAGTGAGAGAAAGATGGTAGAAGCGAACATTGTTCCTAGGCCGGCTACGAGCGGGTGTGTTGTTTGTAAAAAAGAGTGTGGTGATTTTGGAAAATAAAGCGTCCAGATGAGACGAACAGGAAAAGAATGTGAAAGGAACGTGAAAAAGATGATCTACAGAAACTCAGAGTCCGAGCAAGAAGGGCTTCAAGTTAAGACGGTGGGAACAGTTGACCATTTGTATGCCCACCACGGTCCCACGAATTGACCAGCATCGTCTGATCTGATCTGCTCTGCTCCTGTGTGTCTGGCACGCGATTCCGAGATTTGGCTTTGGGTTTCGACATCCCGCAGTGGCTACCTCCCTTCCAGCTCTCCGCCCACCGTTTAGCGCTGCCCCTTACTCTCCAGAAACTTTTGAATGCTGTCTGGGATTGAATGGGGTTCACTTGCAAGTTCCGTGTCATGCCCCCTTGGCATCTGTAACTCGGCGCGCCTCGTCAGCCTGAACCGTGCTGTTGGGTAAACTTGCAGTGGTTTGGTGCTCCGTAGCAGTAGCCCTTTTCTCCCGTATGAAGAGAGAGACAAGGTTGCACCCCGTCAGAACCCAAATAGAGTTTCCCGCTGATTCAGTTTCGGAACCACCGCCCCGTTCGGGGTTGTGCACGGAGCTCAAGTCGGCCAGCCTGGGGAGAAGACTGGGAGAGAACTTGCAGCGAACAAATCCGGCGGCGGAGGTCTGCTGGCGCGAGTCGTGTTAGATTGCCAGTGTCTGGTTTCCACGAAGAGCCTCGCTGAAAGTCTTGAAAACTCCGGACCTCCCGGCATCAACTGGGCACCGAATTCCTCCCGCCACGTGGAGTTGCAAAGCCGCAATATATCGATGCCCCTGATATTAAGGGGATATTGGTACCAAGACAAAGTCTCTGCGCCCGGATTCGTTGGCTAAAGAGCATCATCGTTGCGTTCGTAGATCATTGCTTGCGCAATCTGGTGATGGGGTTCTCAATGGGGTCTGAGGTTCCGCACGATGCCATCCGGTCACAGTCCGGATAGTTCAGGCGGAGTTTTATGACGAGATGGAACAAAGTCTGTCTCCCAGTGGGCAGTTGCAAATACTAAGTATAAACTGTTCCATGTGCAACTCCGCGACTGACGAACCTCAAACTTGGCTCAGAGCCCTGATACGCAGATCCCCTCTGCATCTCGAACGTTGTCAACAAGCACTCAAGAAAGTGTCCGGAGATGCCCACGAAACGTTCTCTCCGGAGAAAGGAAAACACGAAAAAAGTTGGCCAATGGATTAAAGTCGGCGCATGCGCAGGCACAAAAACTCTCCCACTCTTTTCGCAAAGCCGAGCCGGCGGGAGGGGAACCCACAATCATATATTCAATGTTTCCAATATCCGCCAGTGGTTATTAACAGTGAAACTCTATATCGCCAAGGCTACTCTGAGACGCCCTAACAAGGCGACGATATCACCCTTCTGGCGACCCGACAACCGAAAACGTTCTAGAATGGGTCAGAAGAGCTGCCAAACTTGGTCTCGGAGATCGAGCTACTGTGCTTTTTTCCCACGTCGGCGGGAACGTCAGATAAACAATGTCTTCAGCCCGCAAACTAGCGATTCCCGCGGGTTATAGAACGCCGCCGGGAACACTTACACGGCCACTAACGCCTGTGGATACAGTGGAGTTTTGACAGAGGCAGTGGCACTTGATTTGAGACAGGGTTGCGCGCGCTCAATTATTCTGCCTTGGCATGGTGCGTATTTCCGCTTAGTCAGTGCAACTCACTCTGTAATTCAACTCTTTCTGCCGAGATGTCTACTGAACTGCTTTGGAGAACTGCTACATGCGACGAACATCTCGTTTGAGGCTCGCTTTGATCGCTCTCGATATTAGCCGGCACCATATTCAGATTGCAGTGCAGCGTTATGAGACGAACAAATTTATCTGATTGTGCAGCGTAATCGTATTTCTGCCCACGTTCGTGAGTCGTGGCCCGTCTCTCCAGAAGCTTTGGTCTAAAAGAAATGGGGACATCTTGGAAGAAGCGTTCGCAGGATCCACATGCGTGAAGGATCGATAGCCAGAAATCCTACTGATGATCTCCCGACGAGGCCCGAAGCTACCACGCCGCAATGAAATCCGTGCATTTGAAGAGCCTGTCTATATAACAGCAGGTGCTTGTAACATAGTACCTGCCCAGTTGACTATCATCAGTCCGTTCTAGCTACTGTTTCGAAGGCTCAGTTCTTGAAGCCCAATGCCCCGGGCCATGTACAAATCTAGGACTGCGATGATGAATTCGCAGTGTTGGCTAGAGCTGAGAGCTGGAACGAACATAGAAAGAGCTAGAAGGATGGACCTCAACTCTAAACACTTTCTCAGGCTTCCATGAGTGGTCATTGGAGTCCTTCGGCCTTTAGGAGACTGACCAAGCTGCTCGGCATCTAGATACATTCAAGCTGAGTCCCGCAGCCTGACAAGCCGAAAGACGACAGCCCCATGACATCGGCAACATGCATGTATGGTTCTCCAGGAACTCCATATTGAGGCAAAGGCCACCATCATCATAGCAAATTTACGTACTTCCGAAGGAGAATTCACACTTATAACCCATCTTCGAAGCAGCTTATCCCGTGACCAACCCTTTAGCCCAGGGAAGCATGTCATCCTAGCGCACGCCTAGCTTAAACGTCAACCCAGTCCATCCAAGAAAGCAAGTACACCCTCTAACACCATCTGTCTATTATCAAGAATACCTGATACAAATATACAACTCCATCTTTGCCAATCATAGCATCAGGGCAGAGCACGTATAACAGACGCAGGAGAAAGAGTATCGAAACTAAAAGGTATAGGTAAAGAAGGCCAAAAGAGTCTTGTACTGAATCGATGCATCGCGGAGCAGTATATCATGCGTGGTGTTGTCAGGTGTTAAGACTTATGACCATCAGCCTAATTAGATGCTCGTGATGGTGGCCTAGGAGCAAAGCTCGGAAGACTCGACACTGGTGGCAAATGCAGCAAGAAGACACATAACAAAGAGGTGAAGAGATGTATGCTAACACCAATTGATATTTATTGAGTACTTTTCTTAGAGACTTGAGAGTTCCTCATACATGCCATGAACTGCTTACACGTAGCATCGAACATACTATTGAATAAACACAAACGAACACGGACAGTCTTCTTGGCTGAATGACAAGATGTAATAATCCCAAGGAAAATATCGATTAAACAATGGTATCTGATGATATTTTTCTGAAACGAAACATACTGCGTCCCCCGTCTTTCGCCATGCAACTCCAGTCAATGCCAATCATGAAAGAACAAAGAGGAAATAATGACAAGGGACCCCAACGATAAAAACATTCACGCCCCAATAACCAATTCGTCGTTTCCTAGGAAGCTCAGACATGCCTCCTCCTCTTCAGCCACCTCTTAACAATATACCGATACGCAGCCGCCTCAGCAGGCCCAATAGCGACACGATCAACACTCGACCTCCGGCTATCAAGTCCCGCCGTCGCCACCGCCGCCGCCGCCGCGTTCGTCCTCGTCAGTAGAGCCATGGACCTGGAAGAGGGGTGTGTAAGCGGCGGTGGTCGGTAACAGGACCCGACGACGACGTTTTCAGCCCGCCGGGCCCTCTGCTGCTGCTTCTGCTGGGTCTCCGCACCTTTGATGAAGTTTGTCTCCTGTTCCCAGTGCGTCGGGATGTGCAGGACCTTACTATGGATGACGTTCATGGCGAGGACCGCGTCTTCTGCGCGGACGACGAGACTGGAGTGGCATTGATTAGCGTGGGTGATGAGATGAAGAGGTGGATCGATGAGGTGTAAAGGGGGCTTCAACTTACGATATATTGATTTCGCTCGCTCCTTGGCTCACCATGAAGATGTTGATCTTGGCTGATGCTAGGGCAGACATGATCTCTGCTGAAATGCCGACCATGTTCCTCATCTTGTGTCCTACGATAGTGACGATGGACATGTTTTCTGTGATAATCACCTGCACGTACGACATCTTTGGTCAGTCCTGAATTCATGGAGCAAACAACGCATAAGGGGACTGCCTCGAGGTGTGAAAGCCATACCTTTCCAAACTTTTCCAGCTCAACTCTCAACCTCTGGTGTTGACAAGAGCCCTCTTCTGAATGCTGAAACGCGAGACTCACGCTCCGCTCACTGGTAGTGACTAGGTCCGTCTTGATTCCAGCATCCTCGAGGCGGTCAAAGACGCCGGACAAGAACCCCTGAGACTTGGTGTTCCTATTGCAAACCACATTGACCAAGAGAATGTCGTCTTTGACCGTGACCGCCGTAGGCCGCCTTCTTTCCTGCCGATCACCGTGGTAACCATTTCCCAGCATGTAGTCGATCGAGGGTAGAGGGATCTTGACATCGACCTTTTCGTCTGTCGGTGTTGGAGGGGTAAGAGGCGGAGAAGGTGTTCGAGAAGGGTAGATGATTGTGCCAGATGCCGTCGGGTTGAAGACGTTCTTCAGTCTCAAGGGAATGTTGGCGCAACGTATCTGATCCATTGTCAATGGATGTATCACTTCACTCCCGTAGTAAGTCAACTCGGTAGCTTCCTCCGGCGTGACTGTGGATAACAGTCTTGCCGACGGTACCTTTCTCGGGTCCGCCGTAAATATCCCGTCAACCTCTTTCCAGATCTGAAGTTCCGCCGCTTTGGTTCCCACCGCACACATGGCCGCACAAAGGTCCGAGTATCCCCGACCGACGTTCTTGAGCAGCGAGTCTGGCATGATCCCAAAGAAGCCAGTGACGATGGGAACATGGTCGCCGCACTCATGTATCCTCTTGGTGATCTCGTCTGCAATGAGGTGATAGAACCGGGGACCGAGGTTATTCAGTGCCGTCTTCTGGTCGAATACACTAGCGCCGAACACTGCCTCGACTATGTCTTCCAGGACGATAGGTTCGGCCGGGATATTTCTGCTACAGAGAAACGCGGCCATAACTCTGCACGCAAGCTTCTCTCCGAGAGCGATGACACGGTCCCGTGCCCTTGGAGATAGCTCCCCGATGATCTGTGCAGCCAGCAGGAAGCCTCGAAGGCTCTCGCATTCCTTGACAATGAGCGTCTTTGTGGTGTCGAAGATGTCGTTACACAAGTCGCTTCTTGTGCCATTAGAGTTGACGAGATGCTTCTCGAGAAGCCGGACATGACTATCCCGAATGACATCAATGTTCTTGTTGAGCAGCGTCTGCGCGGAGAGTCCAGCCTCAGCGTGTGATACGCATTCAAGCAACAGGCTTGTGGTTCCGCTCGACTTGGTGGAACCGGAGAGGGCCGAGCAGACGACAACCAGGTTGTAGTCTCGGAGGTAGGATGGGACGATTTTGCTGCAGATCGACTCGAGAAGTTTTCCAAGGCTTGTACCACCGTACTTTTGCACCAGCCATGGCCTGTTTTCTCTGGAGGTCTCCATGGCAGGCGGTGGGACTAGGCAGACTGGAGGATGGCAAACCTGTCTTGGGCGCGTGGGACAGTGGAAAGTGTCAGTCGAGCGGGAGCCGGAGAGCTGTGGACCTTGTTCAATTCAAAATTGAAATTTGCTCAAGTGACTTGGCCTTGTTGAACTCCATATATCGTCGTGTTTTCCAGCCTCAGAAACTCAGTCGACATTCCTCTCATGGGATGGATTGCAAAGCACGACGGCGAGAAGGCAACGGCGACTTGACATCCGGCGACGACTTTGGTCGAGGAGGACTCGAGGTCGGCGACGGACGCACTCCTTCGGCCAGTGTTCATTGCGGAATGGAGAATCGCGCATTTCCACACCTCCGAGGCAGATTTCCCAGAGAATTACTGCCATTGGAGATGCTGTTCGGGATGGGTGGAGTTTGCCCGTCGGTGAGTGCTGCATGATCGTGGGCCAAATCCCGGCTCGGGGTTTGAAGACCAGAAGCCACTATGACAACGGGATTCAGCCGCTCGGCGACTGCGCAAAATAGCTTCGCTCCATCGGTTTCGGAGCGGCTTTCTAGTCCTTTGCCGCAAGCTCAAAGTGTAGCGGGATTCGGTCGGCGCGAAGTTGGCTGGTGCCAAATGTGGGATGACATATTCTGCAATCTGCGGCCGCCACCATCCATGTATGTGATTGTGTAAGTGACATCGGCGGTGATTGATCCTCGGACGCGTCGCCTGTCATTGCCCCCCGCCAACCAATGAATTGCCTCGATAGGAGTAGCTGACAAGCATCAGCGTCGGCTGCTCCCGTTGCAGACAGAGAAAGCTGCAGGCCCGTTGAACAAGGGCGTCTTCCATCTTGGTCACACTTGAAGCGTCTACGATAGTCTGGCTCTAGCTCGCAGTCGTGGCGCTGGCGCTTGTCGATCATGGAGTGCGTTCTCCATCAAAACTCACACTGTAGAGAAGCATTGGCCGCCGTTCCTATCACCCAAATTGTGCATAGGAGACGATGCGTGTGTTGTAAGAATCTTGCCCCTCAGAGTCAGCGGAGGAAAATTTGGGCTTTCCTTTGTCACAACACATTCGGGTTGTTTGCAAGCGAGTTGTATGATCTGGCTGTCAATTCGTTGAGATATTATTGCTGTCTTCGATTGATGGTTCTGAACTGTTGTCTGAAGAGAGAACCAAGCAAAGGCGCTTCGTATGCTTAGTCGATTCCACCCGTCCTATCCTCTGTCTTCCCGGAAAAAAAAATGTCGATAAAGTTACCAACAGGCGGCGACGCGCATTGAAACGCTATGGGGGCAGAAGAAAAGTCTCTATTTACGTCAGGTGTGTTCGTCGACGTGGTCGAGCCGCTGTCAAAAGGCTGCCGATAGCTTTGCCTAGCGTCTCGTCCATCTGAAGGATGTCCCTAACTTCGGGCTTTGACCCAAAGTCTGAGCTAAGTAGCTCTACCAATCCTCTACTTCACCCGTCAAGCTTTCCCCAGCCTCATCTATCACAGCAAGGTCTGGCGATCCATCTGACTCATGTATCCTGTCATAGAGATTCGGCAACTGAGATCTCAGCTGAGCTTGGATCAAGGTATCGAGTTGCTCAAACTCGAGCAGGAAGCCGTCATGTCCATCAGATGACTTGAGAACATGTAATGATGCACCAGGTAAGTTGGTGGCAAGCCGCTCTTGTTGCTCAGGGAGGAACAACGCATCGGTCTCAACGCCAATGACCAAGGCTCCCGGCGGTACTCGAGACAACACCTCTGCTAGGCCTTCATCGCCCGATGAATCATCGGGCGATGAAAGCGTCCGGCCGTAGGTAACGTCGTGGCTGTCCATCTTATTGGTGATGTGCAGATAACAATTGGCATCAAACCTGTTGATAAACTTCTCTCCTTGATAGTGTAGGTATCCTTGGGCCGAAAATGATGGATTTTGTTTCCGCTGTAGGCCTGTGTCTCTCTTGGGTCTCGACGTTTCTATAATCGACGCATCTGTCCTCGGAAGATCCAAAGGTGGTTCCTGGGGTATCTGGAGATTTCGTGGAGGTTTTCTCCCGAAACGGTTATCGAAACTCGTGCAAGAACGATATGTCAGCATGGCAATCATTCGAGCTGCTGCAAGTCCTGCCGAGGGCTGGCCATCTGGGATCGGCTCATAGTAGCCGTCGTCGTACTTTGGATCGGAGTAAATGCACTGTCGTTGGGTTTCAGCCCAAGATATGCCCCAGGCAGAGTGATCAGCAGCCGTCGCAATAGGAACAATGTTTCGGACAAACCCTAGTGGTGTGCAGAGAGGCCATTCCAGGGTTGTCATACCACCCATAGATCCTCCAACGACGGCTGCTACTGACTCGACACCAAGGGCATCAAGCACCATTTTATGTGCTCTGACATCGTCCCTGACCGTCGTCTGGGGGAAGTCGCTGGCATATCGGTTGCCAGTGCCTGGATTGATGGTCAAAGGAGACGCACTTCCATAAGGGGAGCCCAGGACATTGCCACAGAAAATAAAGAAGTGTCGAGGGTCAAAGGCTTTCCCAGGGCCTATGAGAGGGCTCCACCAGTCGCTCACGTCACTGCTCCCCGTCAGGGCGTGGCATACGACGAGAGCATTGTCGCTTTGCTCGTTCAATTTTCCCCATGTCTTGTATGCGATTGGGCAGTCAAAGAGTTCTTCTCCTGAATCCAGCCGGAGTCTTGGTACGACGGCGAATCGTTGGCCTCGGATGAGCCGGGCGTAGAAGTTGTCGGGATTCGGATCAGAGTCGAGTACTGGTGATGGAATTAGTCAGAGAAGACTATTTGCGAGAGCCAAATGATGTGTCCAATACTCACAGAGAACCATTTTCAGACCTTTCAAGTGTTGGAGATTGTCCCGGTTGACTTGTAAGTGTAAATAAATGCGGAGACTCGGGTAGTAATAGTGTAGGAGTTGCAAACGAAGACGACGACTCGAGTCCGATATCAAGTATGTATTATTCAACTTTGGCCAAATCAACCTTGCTTCAAAGTAGACGCAACTTTGAGGAATTAAGTGAAGATGTCGTCTTATTCTTTTCGAGTTTGAGACGCTGAAGTTCCAAGAGTGAACTGCTTCTCACTGTGACCAAGTGCCGCCAGCCAGCCAGAGGAAGCCTCACGCAACCCCCGCCAATTCTTCCCCGCGGCACAGTCTCGGATTTTCATCCTTTGATACCAAGAGCTACCTCCTTCATAATCTCGCATACCCCTATCATCTATCGATGAAGGGTTCGTTGGCGGATCACCATCTCAACTTCCACGAACCGGGATTTGAAGTTGTTCCGGGATTTGAGCCATAATCCCGACGATTCAAACTCCGGGTTGTCAACGTCGCCTCTTTTCCGAATTGTCCCGGATGCATGTGTCCAAATCGACGATCTCGAACGATAGTGAGGCCATCCAGTAACAATGAAGCCCTGTTGTGACTCACGTCACAATGGGTCACGTAGGGAGAGGTCCTTGAAAGCCATAACTGTTGGCACAGTGGCACTTTAGTCGCCAATCCCGGGACTTGCCAGAGTTGTCAAGCTGTACGTGATCGAAAATGGTATCCACTCGTCCTATTGTCAAGGTTGCGGCTGTCCAGGCCGCACCTGTCTCCTTTGATCTGGAGAAGAGTCTGCAGAAGCTGAGTAAGCTTACAGAGGAAGCTGCTCAGGCCGGCGCAGATCTAGTTGTGTTCCCGTAAGTGCACAATGCTGTTGGTTCCGGAAGACACCGCTAAAAGTTTGAAGTGAAGGGTTCTTGTCTGCTTATCCATGGAGATACGCGTTTGACGCAACGATTGGTGCTCGAGAGCCGCGAGGTAGACTTCTGGACACCTGCCTAGTTAGATAGAGGATGCCGCTAATTTCTCCATGCTAGGGCGCGAGTGGTATGCCAAGTACGTCGATTCGGCCGTCGAGGTTCCCTCTCCCGCCTTCGACAGGCTTTGCGAAACAGCTAGGGCAAACAACGTTCTCCTTCACGTAGGAATCATTGAAAAGGCAGGCGGTACGCTATACTGCACTGCGTTGCTTCTCGACCGGGAGGGCAAGCTGGTGTACAAGCATCGCAAGGTGACACGGCCGATCTACCAGCTCGGATTTGAGACTAACAAGTATAAGCTGATTCCAACGGCCGCCGAGAGACTTGTTTGGGGTCGAGGCGCTGGAGATGGCCTGTTAGTCAAGCCAACGGATGTGGGCAGAGTCGGAAGTCTGATCTGGTTGGCTGCCCCTAGTCCCAAGTGTATTTGTGGAAAAGAATGCTGATGCAAACGCAGCTGGGAGAATTATATGCCGGCGGCTCGCATGGCGATGTACCAACGAGGCATCGAGTACGTTGATCTGCTCCGGTGTCAAAGGGAGAAATAGTCGCTGACATTGACAACCTACACTCGATAGGATTTACGTGGCGCCCCACGCCGACGATTTGGCCACCTGGACAGCATCGATGCAGCATATTGCGAAGGAAGGGCGTTGCTTTGTAGTATCTGTCAACTCGTTCTGCAAGGTGTCGGATTTTCCGCCTGACTACCCGCCTTTCACGGCCGAGCACCCCGATCGGAGGCCGGACGGAGCACAGTGGGAGGCGGATGATATTCTCAATCACGGTGGCTCATGCATTGTCGGACCGCTGGGCACTTTTCTTGCCAAGCCGGTGTGGGACAAGGAAGAGATCGTTTATGCCAGCCTCCGAATGGCAGACATCACGGAGTCCAAGGTAAGTTCCCCAACATAGGCTGCAGGCTTCCGCTAGTCATGAGATAGATTCCAAACTAACGGCGCCTTGCAGCTGGACTTTGACCCCATCGGCAGCTACTCCCGGCCCGACATCTTGTAAGTGGTCCCGTTCAAGACATTGACAAGTGACAAGCCAGATTACCCTGGATGTGATGTGCGCCGATCCAAAGCTGACAAGTCGTCTCAGTTCGTTGACGGTCAACACCAAGCCGGCCGACAACGTCGTATTCACCAGCTAATGTCCCGGGCGCAATGAGCATGTTTGCGGGCAACGACGGCGTGGGGGTGTGAACGGCAGGCGGGGTGCGGTGCGGAGTGACCAGGATGTTGTGCGCTCGCGATTTATGGGACCTGACTCGGAGCTTGGGTGTTGGAGGTTGCTCGGCTGCAGGGTCAGGAATGCCAGCCAGGCTCGAGGCGAGACAGCGATGTTGGTTGGTCGCACCAAAATTCGAGAAGCTTTTCTAGATGTCCAAGCGAGCACGTTGGTCCGACGATGTTTGACACAGAGGCATGCCACCCATTCTCTTGCGGCTAAAATGGTCTCGGCTCAGTATGTTGTGCACAGTAGACAGTAAAGTCTTGCTGGGTAGAAACGGCTCGACAGCGGTGATAGGCCGAAGCTTTGATCTTGAATGCATCGGATACTTGAAGATGAGATGGCATCCTGATTGGAATACACTGGCTTAGGTAGGAGGAGCTGCCTAATGAGTGGACAACTCAGAAAAAGAGGGAGAAGTCTAATTCGAAGCTTAGATGCTGACAAAGAGCTACTAATCAATTCCTTTCTTGGTCGAGTAAAGAGGGAAGGGAGAATGAATCGTGATGTCGAGACGTTCCAAGCTGTGGTCCAAAGGAGCCTTGCGCTGCTGCTGCGATTACAGCTGGCAGTGGCATAGCTGGCATAATTGCGACTGCTAGTCATGCTGGAATTTATTCCGACAACCGCTTCGAATTCTAGAACAAGGAAAGGCGACTATGCGGACGTTTGATGGGGACACAGAGAAGAGCTGCGGAGTGTACATAGGTATGTAGAAATGCGGAATTGACGTCAAAAAGTCGTGTGCTCGGGCTCTGAAGTCGGGTGTTAGGGACGCGGCGCCAACGGCGAGCAGACGGCGAGACCGCAGCAAGAGCCCAGGGAACGGCAGGTTCCATGCACCTCAGGAGGCGAATGTAGGTACCTTCCGTGCGTGAATGCCACCATGCCAAGCGAGCGACGGTCGGGTTGTGTGGTTGTGTCAGGTCAAGTCAGGGACGGGGGGAATTTGGCGCTGCTTGAGAAGGCAAGAGCAATGAGCATCCACGCACCTTCTCTGAGAGTGAGAGAGAGGTACAGAGTACTGTGCGACTTGAGAAAGTTTGCTGTGCATGATCCCTGTTCAAAGACCGGCCCAGCCAACTGCAACACTGTGCGCAGGTTTTTCTCATTGGGCCAAGTCTTCGGTACGTATCTCGTGACTTGAGTCCTTCTTACCAATGCGATTGGCCAACTCTGTCCAGGAATCTTCTCCACAATCTTCTCCACCCTGCCCTTCAGCCCGGGACAGTGTCACCCACGCACCTTCTCCATCTCAACTCCCGAGAGAGAGGAAGGAGGGGAGGAAAGAAATCGAAAGGATACAGAGGGAAAGGCAGAAGCGAACGAGAGAGGGACCAAAAGAGAAAAAAGTACTCCGTACACCCCAATTCCCAACGATCCCAGACAGCCCTGCCTCTTTGCCTGGCCTCTTGAAAATTGAAAGTCGCAGCGTGCCGTCCTAGCCCTGTCACGATCGAACGATCCGCAGGTCGCCTTCCCCCACTCTTCCCTGTCCAGTCAAACTGCTGCCCGTCGTGCCTTCTCCTTACAAATCCCACCCGGTCGCCGCATTTTGCCCCTCTGTCGCCGACTTGAGAAGGAAAGGCACGAAGCAACGGAAACAGCAACAGCTCCTGCCTGCACTTGCACCGCACTCACCCCGACCTGCATCTGCACCTGCCTACACCTGAGCTCCTGCCTGCATCAGCAGCCCAGCACCTGCCTGCCACCACCCGCACATCGTACTTACCTGAGGTTTTGGGTATCACCACCAAACTGCAAAGGAAACTACGACCGCTATTGCACCTGACCAGCTGGCGACACCGGCCGCGACAACCCTTCCACCTGTCGCCTCTTCTCCTTCCACTCCGTTTTTGCCGTCCAACTGTCAACACCCTCGAAGCTCCAGTTCACTCTCCGGCCCGGCCGCGGTAGACATCCAGTCATCCAGTCATCCACACCTCGACTCACCCAGCGCTCCCCCCCCCGTGTCGCTGCTATTTCATCTTATTACGTACCCAATCCCGCGATACCGACTTTTCCGCGCGCCGTCTCGAGTCCAGACACCTTATTAAACCGTGAATCGCGCGAACAAGGCCCCAAGCCCGGACGACTCCGCCCCCGCTCCGTGTGACAATCCCCGATCCGCCCGGAAGGATTCTCGTCTCGCTCAACTTCGCCCCCCGTAGCCATCTGTCTCTCTGACCAACGCAGTTGACCTCACTCTATCTCGTTTGTATATTATTATCACCACACTAGGCCATGAGTACAATGATAGAAGCCGTTGTACCTCCTGGTCCGGCTTCCGCAGCCAAGAAGAAGTTTGCTACGCCCCCGGTTAAGATTGCCTGTCTTGCCTGGTAAGTCTTTCTCATCTACTAGTCATCGGGAGGAAAGATTGGTCAAAGTCGTCGCCCAAGACGCGGCCGCTACTTTGACCAAGGCATACATACCTCGGATCTGTGGCTCACAAATACATAGTCGAGCTTCCCGTACACGATGCGATGGAGCAAGCCCATGTGCTAGTGTAAGTTTTCATCCCCAGCTCGATTCATTGCACTGGCCATGCATGAAAAAGGGTGACTGACATGATGTAGTGTAAAAGTAGAGGGCGCGATTGTGTCTTCAAGCCTAGCAGAAGAGGCGGCGCCCGCGTGAGGCGAAAGCCGCGGCCGGCTGAAGAGCTGGCCCAGCAGGTTCAGGCGTTCAATGGCGAGATGCCTCCAGACGAGGTCACTCATCAAGATCGTGAGTCTTTGCGCTTGGGATCTTCGTCCGAGCAGCTCTTGACCGATGCTACAGCCATCTCTGTTCAAAACTACATCGACCCTGGCGCGGGCTTGAAGCAGTTGCAGGACTTCTTCCAAGACAGCGACTTCATCTTCGATACTCTCTTCATGTCGGGCGTTCCTGGCAGTACCAGTGGCGAAAGCGCATCTGAACACTCATTTACCTTTCCAACGCCTCAAATCCCAGTCGCCAGAACGTATAAGAGTGACCAGGCCATGTAAGCAAAGCTGATCCCTTTCTCCTACCACCTCCAAGAAAATGCTTAGGGCTCATTATCAAACAGTCTCGATGCGTACTACATCTTTATCCACCCCTTCTTCCCTATTCTTCCTGCTCCCTCAGGTCTGCCTATGGACCAAGCTGTACCGCATTTCCAAAACGACACGGAAGGCTTCGCAGACGAATATCAGCCATCGACGCCCATCAGTCTGGCCATCTCCGCAATCCTTGCGTTGATCCCGTATCACAACGATACCAACCATCTCAACAAGGAGTCAGTGGTCTTCCGCCGGAGATATGCGCAATACCTAGCCCAATGCGCCATCGAAAGCATCGAGATTGAATCGGAAATTCCGGATTCGTCCATTGAGCCGCCCAAGGCGCTTAATGAGTCCCCAGACGACTTCCCCAGGCAGCAATTCCACCCAGGCGTGCCCATCGAGCTGGAGAGTGTAATCGCTTTGGATATCCTCAGTGTCTATGAGTATGCGCAACGAGGCAATCTGAAGAAGATGCAGGCGCGTGCGGGCCAAGCCCTGGTTGCTGCCATGTCCTTGTCCATCCACACTTGCGCTGAAGAGGATGCGTTCTCAGAAGCGAGGCGGAGGGTTTGGTGGATGACGGTGCGTTCCTCTTGCTCCTGCTTCATAACGCAGCTCGCTGACGATGCCTGTAGTACATCTGCGTTTGTCAAGGATCGATTGTCAGCAACTCGGTATGTCCTCGTAGTCATGCGCTAGGAGCCAATATTCACATGCCATCTAGGAACCAACGTTCTCAGTGTTCACTCCCAGCTACACTGCCAAATATCCTGTGATACAGTCGGATCCTGAGGTATGTATCATGACGAATTGGCTACGATGGATGCTGACCATCTTCTAGGCTTTTGCCGTCTACATCCAGGCACAGCAAGCGATCCTGTCAGCAACCCAATTTGTCATCGAACTAAACAAGACTGTAAAGTCCGGCGGTGACATGGCACGAATCTATGCGCGCATGAAGGAGATGGAGGCATACCTCGAACCCCTCAATACGATGGCCGACTCTTGGATCCTCCAGTCAACGACAACGACGCCACTGGATCCTACGGAGGAGGTCTTGTCCCGCTCCCTCCGCTGCATGGCTCGCATCAAACTCAACAGGTAAGAATCTGCGTCTCCTTCCAAATCAGGTGCAATTGCTGACGGCCAACAGCGCACGAATCAAACTTCACCGATACTGCGCTTTCTTTGACATGCCCGTCTTTTCCGGCAAGTACTGCGATCTCAAGTCCAAAGCCGACAACGATGCCAACATGGAGCCTCGGAGCTGGCCGTCATGTTCTTGCAGCTCCATGATGAGCTTGCCATCACCACCAGTTGCCATATCAAACGGATCGACTACGCCACCGGGAAAGAAGTCTCCTCACTCGGAACATTCGCCCAGTAGCCAGTCGCCAGCGACGTTCCCCTTTAGCAGTCACCAGTCGGCCAAGATCTGTCTCAAAGCGGCCATCAACATCTCACAATCCTTTGATGACTTGCCGTATCCCAATCCCTTCGGTCAACTATGCCCCGCTCCTTGCTATCTGGCACCCACATCGACGATCGTATGTCCGAGGACGATGCCCTCGTTTGCTTGTTGTGCTATGCAATGCGCGTACGCGTTGCTTATGGTCAATCACAAGACCAAGGCCATGTACCCGGAGAACGCACTAGCCACTCCGATGGTGGAAAGCCTCCTGATGCGACTGCAGACGGGGTTGGCCTCTATCTCGGCGACACTGGAAAATTATGCCACGGCGTTTGAAGCACTCGGTGGGATGCGCGGTAAGGAAACCCCTCAAACTTTTCAGACTTGGCTTGCCCCTGGTCATTTGGCCCATTGCTTTTTCCGTTGTTGCTAACGTCATGCCGCAGACCAAATTCGGAGTGTCATCGAACCCACCATGATGTTTGACGGACCGGTCCAGTAATGGCCCGATCGGCATTTCGCCTCCAGTTTATCCCCAGTCTATCTGCAGATTGCCTAGTGCCTCGCATCTTGCCGGGCGCCCGCATTGTTTTGTTTCTAACGGCATCTGACGACATCCCGATATGGGATCTGAACACGGCCTCTGGGTGGAGTCTCGGGAACGTCTGGGAAAAAAGGGGGGGGGGGTTTGCGGGGTTTGCTCACTTATCAGCAAAGACCGGAGATCGAGACAGCTCCGACATGCAACAAGCCGCAATCTGTGCGCCCATCTGAGGGGTATCGAACGACTGAAACGAAGTGATGCATTTGCTCCAAGGGCGTTGAGGAAAACATTTAAGATTTTGTCATTTGCCATGATGGGACGACAAAAAGCTGGAACCAAAGCTTTCAACAGAGAATTCGGAGTTGGACCAGGAACCGGAACGAACTATTAGACTACTACCCCTCTCAAAAACATATTCTTATCACCTTCAAAATGCCTGTATCCGGATCTCTGAGCAACGTGGACTGGTGAGAAGCCCGGTCGGCCTTTGCCTCGATGCATACTGCTGCCTGAAGCTAACAACATTGGCCAACTAGGGAACCAAGCTTTTCCACGCTTGCAGTTCACGGTGGCCAAGAGCCCGACCCGGTCAATGGCTCCCGAGCTGTTCCTCTGTACCAGACAGCCGCCTACAACTTTACAGATGCCGCAGGTTAGTAGCTTCAGCCTCGGATCGGTCACGCAATACTTGTACACATCTACTGACGTTGGCGGAATGCAGATGGCGCCAGCAAGTTTGCATGGAGCAAAGATGGCTACGTCTACACGCGTATGGGTAACCCGACCAACAGCGTCTTCGAGACGCGCATGGCGATGCTCGAGGGCGGCGTTGGTGCCGTAGCCGCGGCGTCGGGCCACGCTGCGCAGTTCATGGCCTTGACCAACTGCTGTGAGCCGGGTCAGAACTTTGTCAGCACCAGCTGGCTATACGGCGGCACGTACAACCAGTTCCGGGTGTATATGAAGAAGTTCAAAATTGACGTCAAGTGGGTCGTGGGCAACGAGCCCGCCGACATTGACGCCGCCATTGACGAAAATACGCGCTGTGTTTACATTGAGACAATTAGCAACCCGAAGCACAGCGTCCCGGATATCAAGGCCATTGCGGACGTGGCGCACAAGCACGGCATCCCCCTCATTGTTGACAACACCTTCGGTATGGGCGGGTACCTGTGCCAGCCCATCAAGCAGGGCGCCGATATTGTCACGCACTCTGCTACAAAGTGGATCGGCGGCCACGGTACATCCATGGGCGGTATCGTCATCGATGGCGGTCATTTTGACTGGAGCGCGTCCGGCAAGTTCCCCGGGTTCACGGAGCCGGCGGACGGATACCACGGACTCAAGTTCTGGGAAACGTATGGGTACAAGGCGCTCTCGGCAAAGCTGCGGATGGACAGCATGCGTGATCTGGGGCCGTGCCTGAGTCCCTTCAACGCGTGGCTGCTGCTCCAGGGCCTGGAGACGCTTGCTCTGAGGGGTGAGAGGCACGCCGAGAACACGCAGAAGCTGGCCGAGTGGCTCGAGGCACACCCCAGCGTCAACTGGGTATTGTATCCCGGCCTCAAGTCGCACCCCGACTATGAGTACACCAAGAGGGTGTTTACCAATGGAGCGGGCGGTGTCTTGACCTTTGGCGTTGTAAGTTGACCGCAATGGCACAATCCCAGATGAACATAGTCGCTAACCATTCCGGAACCTAGGCCGGAAACATCGAACAAGTCCGCTCCGTCGTCGACAATCTCAAGCTCTGCTCGCACCTGGCCAACGTGGGCGACGCAAAGACGCTCATCATCCACCCCTGGGTGACGACGCACCAGCAGCTTCCCGACGAGGAGAAGATTAAAGGCGGCGTCACCCCGGACCTCATCCGCGTGTCGGTCGGCATCGAAGGGTTCGAAGACATCAAAAAGGATTTTGAGCAGGCGTTTGACAAGGCTGGGTTGCCGGCGGCGACCAAGGCGGGTGGAGATCCGTTCTCCAAGGCGCTGAACCTCGTTTCGGGTGGGTTCATGGGGAAGGCGTCGACGGGCGCGCCTAGGCCTGGGACGGATGGTACTATTTCTGTTGAGGCTTGAGGTGGTCCTCGGGGAGTCTGGCTTTGGGAGGTTCTCTGATTGTGTCAAGGCGTGCGGGGGGGCTTTTAGACGGGTTCCATGTGTAGGAAAGAGCTATGGTAGATACCTAGACAATATGGCCGGTCGGGACAGCAATGTGACGATAATCTGGATTACTTGAGTCAGCACGTCGAATTGCTCCAGAGCCTTTCTTTGCAGTCCGTTTGAGGGTGAACGGTTCCATCAGCTCACGCCAACGAGGAGAGGCCAGACATTGGGTCCGCGGATCCGGGTCCGGGGCATCCCTCACGGCGCACGTTGGCAGATCTCTAAGCAAGTTAGCTCTGGTGGCTAGAGTACATCGGAGCTTTACGTACAGTCCACACTTGATGCAAGTCTGCGATGAATGTTGCCGGTATGTGCTACACTGCGGTATTACAACATTCGCAATTTCCTTTCACGGCCTTTTCTGGTGATATACCTGAAAAGTAAGCAGCCGCCCGTGTGGGAGCAGGTACGAGCATGGACACTCGCTGGCTGACGCTTGCCAAATGATGTTGAGCTGCGATACCCCTCTGTCCCGTCCCCCGCCGTGCCCCGCGCCGATTTGTCTTCCGTTACCTTTGTCCGATTACATCATCAATCGCAACCTCAACACCGTCACTCCCCTCAACGACATCTCATCTACTTACACACATTGACCGTAGAGCATCAAATTTGCAAACTCTCAGTGGAATTGCCACCTTCTTCCGAAGACAAGACCATAATTCACGCTCTCAACATTCCTCCTACCAAGTTCATCAAGATACCGCGCCTACCTACCTCGATACCCCGTAAGCCGACGATGGGCTTCATACCACCACACATGCTCAAGGCCAAAGCCGCAAGCCAGGACGTCTCTGCTGAAGAGCGGGAGGCGTCGCGGAGGACGATGCAGTTGGATGATGCTAGGCAGGCGCAGAGGAAGGACGTGGAGAAGGGGAAGACGAGTGGTGGTGGAAGTTCGACGGAGGTGAATGGCGAGCAGAAGAAGGGTGGGGAGGGGGAGAAGAAGTGAGGGCTGGAGGATGGGAGATGCGGTGCTTGAGATTGGAATTATGCGCGCGACTGGATGAGATATTTATGATTACGACACGCTGGAACAAAAATGAACACCAACCTGGATCCTGGAGAAAAGAAACGAGACAGGGAGCGGACGAAAGAATGTACGTTAGCTAATAGTCTCTTGTGCTAGGCGAGAACAATGGAGAACAACAGCAGCCCTCTAACTTAAGCAACAAATACCACAGATTGCATTCCTTATTCTTCTGAACCCTTAGATGAGAGACCTGCCATCACTCGCTGAAGGGTTGACAGATAGATGCATTGGCGATCTCGGGATGATGGGAAACGCGCATGTCACTGGCATTCGTTCATCCCAAATTTCCCCAGAAAACGATCCAGGAACCGGCCAACCTGACTGACTGACTAACCAACCAGGCGACCATCAAAAGTTAGAATCATGATCCTCTCGCGCCGTCCTAGCTTCGACCAACCGCAGCAGGCCCAGATTTTCCCATCTGACCAACACGACGAGAATCAGTCGATGCGAAAAACAAGAGCAGGCGGACCCTTGCAGTGCGGGAGTTTTCGGTCCCGCCGGGGCGAGCCTCAACTTTGTCAAGAATTGAAGAATCACACGGTCGCACCGGCGTCCTGCGGGCGGATCGCCCTGGGCAAATTCCACCCCGCTAAAGCACCCGCGGTGGATCCCGCCCGCCAGCCTGGCTCTGCCTAGCAGCCCCCCTGGTCAGCTAATAGACGGTAAACCAGAAAGTGGTGCGACTTTGGCACGAACCAGAACATCAGACCACCATCGGCCGGTTGGCCCTCTGCCCGACGATAGGGACTGCACCACGCAACTTTGTAAGTGAATGAGGCATCAGCTCATTGAATTCTTCTCGGCGCATGATGACGCAGGGAGAAAGGATGGGGTCTTGCGAAGAAATGTCGTCCCGTTAATGACCGGTCAGATGGGACCCTTTTCCGTCTCATTCAAATATCGCGGGGTCCCCTTTTTCTGACGCGTTTGGAGAGGGTGAAGAGGGACATTTGAGAAGAGCCATTCACGAATCGAGCATTACCAAATCGACAAGACGACGATCGCCAGGTTGAATTTCCGTACATTTACAGCGAATAGAGTTTCTAGCGATATTTCCGAGGGATTCGAAAACCAGCACTGTGAGGCTTCAAACACCACAATACAAAACACCACAAGTCTCGTCCCCGCCATAGCGAAGAAACCGCCGAGATGGGTCTCATGAGGCACATGAACCACATCGACCGCGAGGAACTCTACACAGACCTCGAGGCCCGTATCCGCTACCTCCACAGCTTTCTCGACTTTAGCAGCAGTACGTCCTTCTGGCCATCTTTCACGACTTTCCACTTCACTTCCAAGACGCACCTGCTAACCAAACCCCACTTACAGAAGACATCGAGGCCCTCATCCACGGCGCGAAATACGTCAAGGCCCTCATCCCCGCCGTCGTCAACATCGTCTACCACAAGCTGCTGCAGTACGACATCACCGCCCGCGCCTTCACCACCCGCTCCACCTCCTTCGAGGGCCCCATGGACGAGGTCCCCGACGACAACTCGCCGCAGATTCTGCACCGCAAGATGTTCCTCAGGGCGTATCTGGCGAAGCTGTGCTCTGATCCGAGCAAGATGGAGTTTTGGGAGTATCTCGACAAGGTTGGGTATGTTGTTCTGTCTTCTATCCCTTCTCTTGCCCTGTAGACCTTGACAAAGCGAAACGTCAAGAGGATACAATGAAGAAGGACCAAAGAACTAATAACAGAACAGAATGATGCACGTAGGACTAGGCCGCAAACACCCCCTCAACGTAGAATACATCCACCTCGGCGCCTGCCTCTCCTTCATCCAAGACATCATGACGGAAGCCATCCTCTCCCACCCGCGCATGGTCATGCAAAAGAAGATCGCCCTCGTGAAAGCCCTGGGGAAAGTCATCTGGATCCAAAACGACCTCATGGCGAAATGGCACTGCAAAGACGGCGCAGAGTTCCAGCGCGACGGCGACGAGGATGGGGAGGGGATCGAGATTGAGGAGGAAGGGTATCTTCACGGGAAGAAAATTCTGGAGAGCGAGAGTGATGAGGAGACTGCTGTTAATGGAGTGCCTGGTGGGAATGGGCCGAAGTCGCCTAGTAGGTTACCTACGAGGAGGCCGAATAGTCCTGGCAGTGGAGGGGTGTGTCCGTTTACGGGGATCTCGGCGGGGATGGAGGGAATGAAGGTGTCGGAAAGCAAGGCAGAGAAGGAGGAGGGACCGCAAAGGGTTGAGGCTTCTGTTTAGGCTGATATTGGGATGTGTTTTGGAAGAAGTCTTTTGCATTGCTTGGGTGCATGGGTTGGATGGCGTTTTGGGGTGTATAGCATCAGGTCTCGGCTCAATATTCACGACTTTCACGGTTCGACTTCTGGTTGCTTGGTGTGAATGTACCCTTCTGGCGATGGAGCTGGATTACTGAAAGATTCTGCATGTAAGTGAAGGGGCTATTCCCCAGGTCTGTTTACCTTTGTCCCAAGTCTGAAATACCCTACAGAGTGTCGCAAATCCAGCGAAGAGTCCAAGTCCACCCAAATCACGGCTCCAAGAAACATCCTGGTACCTGATCCTCTTTAGCAAGCTCAAACCCCCGGGCCCATATACAAGACCAAAGTCCAAGCAAGTCCAAACATCCTCACAGCTGGAAATCTGGTCCCTCCGTTCTGCGACGCTTCTTGCCCTGATAGACCGACACGCGTCCGAGCATACCCTCCATGTTGCCCCTCATCTCCTCCAACTGCTTTTCCAAGCTCATCGTGTATGACTCCTTGGCGTTGGCCGCGTTCATCCTTTCGGCGCACTTCTTCGCCAGAGCCTCTACTTCGGCCTTCTTCGCATCCGTTTCTGCCTTACGAGCGTTCACCTCGGCCTTCTCGGTCTGCAACTCGGACTTCATAGCTTCCATGGCCAACTTCATCGCTTCGAGCTTGCTCTCCATGTCGCTTGCTTTCTCCTTCGCCTGGCGGGCGATTTCCCGCTGATACTGCAATTCATGGACGGATGCAGGGGGCTCCGCTCTAGCTCCCCGGCCACGTTGCGGCGTATGTAGGGCGGCTTGCGATTGTTGTTGAAGGCGAAGAATGTCACCCTCAAGTCGCTCAATGAAGGTATCCTTGTCGCTCAATCCTGCCATGATCTTCTCGGTCTGATTCGAATGCGCAGCTGACTTGTGTTTGAGACTCCGTTGAGCTTCCTCGAGCGCGGCTTCGGTGCGTCTTTCGCGTTCGTTCTTCATTTCCAGATCACGCCGTAGCTCGGCGACACTGGCGCGGCTCTGTTGGAGCTCGTTGTCGAGCTCACTCAGCTGCCCAGCGTATCCTTGACTGGTCTTGATCACCTCTTCCTTTTCTTTCTCAAGCATGACCGTAATTCTGTTCAGCTCCACATTCGCTTCTCTGGCTTCGTCACTTGCCGCTGTTAAGGTCTCGATGTGTTCTTCCTGTGACTGGGTCTTGTCCTCCAGCTTACTCAATTTGTCCACCATGCGTTTCTTCTTGCGGTCCATCTTTTCCACCTTGGACTCGAGTTCGGCATTTCTGTCAATTTGTGACTGACTGCTTTCAATGAGGGCGTTGTATTCGTTGTTGAGTCCCTTGTACTGCCGATGAAGTAAAATCTTATCAGCTTTCAACGTCTTTAGTTGTTCGAAGTTGAAAGTTCCGTCTCTCATGTTGGCAATCGTTTGATGCAGATCTTGCATTTCCATACGCACTTTTGCAGCTTTCTCGGCCGCGTTGGCATCATTGGCACTGACCTCAGACTCGAGCTCCTTGTTCTTCTCGAGGAGTTTCTTGATCTGACGCTTTTGATCTTTCGTGGTGACCGCACGAATGTGATTTTCCTCGGTAACCGCTTCTGCCCGCTCGCGGACACGACTCAGCTCTAACGCCGTATTTTGAATCGTAGCTGACCGTTCAGCATTCTCCTTGTCTAATTGAACATTTCGCGCCCGAAGAGCTTCTGTTTCGATACTGGCCGCCTGCAAGTCGTGGTGAAGGGAACCAACCTCATCTCGAAGTTGTTTTGCAATCTGATGCAACTGTTTGTGGTTGAGATGATTGATCTTTTCGTAGCTTGGGATCTCCGTGTGGCATGCTGTGCTGCTTTTGTCCCTCAATGCGACTTCTCGATTCATCCGAGGCTCCTGCTGCAAAGCCGGAGCGTTTGTTGATGCTTTCGCCGTAGCCTCCCTATGCAGTCTTCTCCAGGTCAAGACTTCCTGCTCACAAACCTTCTGAATGATCCGGAGTCGACTAGTTTCCCACGTTCCTCGTGACGTGGGGTGGGACTTGTCAGGGCTGGTACACTCTTTGTCGCAACAGTGCTGGTAGATCTCGCCACCACTTGTGACAGGATACCATCTTAAATGTCCTGTCCCTGGGAGCTTTTGCTTTGCTGGCGTCGGGTGAGTATTGCAGGCTCGCGCAATAACCCCGCCATTACGACGACCGTCCTGGCCATGACTGGCGATGAGAGTGATGGCGACGATATCCACAACACAGTCGCCTTTGCGCGTAACATCAATGATGAACCGCCATTGCTCGCCTGTGATTCTGAAGGTACTGCCTGCGCCACTGTACAAGCGAAGAAGGCTGACAAGTTGCCCGGCGCCATTGGCAGGAAAACCGCATTCTGTATGGAGATGTCGGAAAACTGTTCTCCATCGACGACAACAACCCGGATCGATGAAGAGACTCATGGCGACCATGTGACGTGATCTCAAACTTGCTGAATGGCGATGCTGATTCGAGTGGAACTTGTGATGGGCCGCTTTCGTAGGGAAAATACCTTAGTTCAGGACGATACCGTGTGAGTTGAGCCAGTAAAGAGAAAGACTGAAATACTTGACGAGAGACGCAAAATTGAGCTCGAGGATGCGTTAGCAATGTGTGGGAAAGGTGGCCGTGGAGAGCAAAAGGACTACGAGGCGACGTTGAATCTGTGAAAATCCCCTGATGAATCCTCTGCAAGGGGATGTGGTTGGCACTTTGGGAGAAAGAAAGGTGAAGTCGTCGCGAGGTGTTGGGAAAAGGAAGAGGAAGAAAAGTCAGGGCCAAGCAGAAATTTGGGAAGGTGGAAGGCGGGGGCAGCTTGAGGGAAGGAGCTACTTTACCTTCGGGAAGGAAGGAGGGAGGAGGAAGGAGCGATGCACCTGCCTTAGATGCGGTTGTTCGTGACTGCCTCAGGAAGCTGAATAGCAGCGAAGTCCGGTATGTAAGGTATGCACTGATTTTGAGCTAGACATCTACAATCGTGAGTCGGTCGCTCTTAACCTCCTCTTCAGCCCCGCCGCCGTTGTCAGTATCACTGGTCAGCAGCGACATCGATCGCCTTACATGCTCCAGTGCATACGAGGCTGACAGACAGCACAGAGGGATACGACAATGTTTGGCAATAAATTAAATCTGGCGTGTATTCGAGGTCTCTGCTCTACGAGATGTATCTCTACCATGCCCCATCTAGAGCGCCAACCTATGCAATCATTTATAAGTACTGTACAGTTTACATTACACATTCGGTGCAAGGAGATCATATTTAACGCAACGTTCAACCTAGGGGTCATTAGCAAGAGTACGCCATCAACAATAACCGAATCATTACTCACATCTTCAATGCTCGCCTGCAAGAACCGCCGGGTCTCCAGGCCAGCCCACACAACCAACATGCTGAAATCACCATGTTTCGCCATCTCGGCACCGCTCTGCGCGCTCAACTGCCGGAGGATAGGCAGGGAGCTGCTCAGAAGGTCCATATCCGGGTCCAGACTGCGTCCGATGCCTTCCAGCAGCAAGATACTGATGACGACGTTGACGAAATCGCCCTCAAGACGGACATGGTGCCCACGGACCATACCCAGAACTTCCTGCAAGATGTCACCAATCTTAATGTTACCCAGCGCGAGGGTGCGGCTCTTGACGCCCAGAACGAGGTGCTGCATCTTGAGCGCAAATACCTCCTTGTCGAGCACGGCGTCGGGCTGGCGACACCGCTCGCACATGAGGTTACCGGCCTTGTATCCATCAAATTCTGCGACAGCACGGAAGAGGTCGAGGAAATTCGTGCGGTTCGTCTGGTTGAGCTCCGTCACCAGACCCGTGTCGATGAAGATGAGTTGTGGGCGGAAGCCCTCGTTGTCAATCTTACGCAGCTCGGCCGCCCACGCCGCGGGATCCTTTCTATGGCGATAGGGCCGCAGACGGGCGAGGACCTGTTCTGTGACATCGTCTTGGTCTTCTGGGTGCTCCTTGGCGTGATTTCTGCGGAACTTGAGATCCGGCTCGTGGGATTGGTAGAAGCGGACCATGATGTTGCCCGGGTGCAGATCGGCGTGGACAAAGTTGTCAATCAGCAGCATGCGCAGGAAGGCATCGAGGCCCTCGGAAGCAATGTCGTGCTGGAAGACACCGCCACCGTTCTCCATGAAGTCGGCTAGCGGGATACCCTGCGCGAATTCTTCGACTAAAACGTTGCGGGTGGTGAACTCGGTGTACGGGTAGGGGAACCATGCCGTCGTGCGGTCCTTGAAGTTCTTGCGGAACTTGGCGAGATTGGCGGCCTCGATGCGGAGGTCGAGCTGGAGCTTCATCATCTCTCCAAACTGCGCAACCTCGTCGGGGAGGGAGAGCCATTCAATGGTGGGTATAACGTTGAGAGCGGAGGCGAAGAAGTGCATGATGCGCAGATCTCGGCGGACGGTCCTCTCGACGCGGGGATGCAGGACCTTGACAGCGACGTAGGTGGAGGGAACCCTCTTGGGCGTGCTCTTGAGGGCAGCATCGACGTTCTTTGCCACCTTATGACGGAGCGGCCTGGGTTCTTCCGGAAGGTCTGCGTCGCCGGGGGCGGCGAGACTGGCCTTGAGCTTGGCTCGGTAGACTTGAGCAATGGCGCCTACACCAAGGGGCTTCTCGTCGAATTCTTCGAAAATGTCGTTAAAGTCGCGTCCGTCAAAGGCAGCGGAGACGATGCGCTTTGTGTCGTGCATAGAGTGCGCCGGGGCGTTGGAGTGGAGTTTGGACATGATTTCGCACATTTCGTTTGGGAAAATGTCGGAGCGAGAGGCCGCCCATTGACCAAGCTGTGCGGTGTTAGTGACATCGTCTTCGTTTGCAATCGAGGGTGATCGTTTAACAGTACCTTGATGAAAGCTGGGCCAGCCCATTCCATAGACTGGACCAAGAAGCCGTACCACCATAGCGTGCCGCTTCTCTCGTTATCGCGATCTTTCTGCCGCGTGCCGAACCACAGAGCAGGAACGGCGACGATGACGGGAACAAAGATGACGAGCAGATGGAGGAACCGCACGCCGGTACACAGGGGCTCCCAAACATAGACTTCGACGGCAATCTTCAACGTATGCCAAGCCCTCGAAATCCCGCTATCGTCGTCGGCGACCTTCTTCTTGATCTCGGCTCGGCTAACCTCCAACATGCGCTTCTCGCCCGTCTGGTCGGTACCGCCATTGTCCTTCTCCGAGAGCTCAAAGAAGGCGGCTGTGCCGAGGGCACCGGCACCTGCTCCGCCGGCTCGGAGGGTGTATCTCGTGTATCGGTTACTGCTACCGCTACCGTTGCCGCCGGTTCGCCATGATATTCGTCTCGGCTGGTGTGAGCTCCGGAAGGTGCTCCTGAATGTGGAGTAGAATTGGGTGGTGGTGCCGTTCGGCGCTGGGGCTCGGAAGGCCGGACGTGGACAAAACCGGCCCAGGACGAAGGCCAGTCTCATCTCGAGGGAGGATCGGGGGTTGATGATCGGAGGACCGGTGTCATGTTCTCAGTGTCGCAGGGTGGGGGGAAGGAAGGTTGTCAGGGTCGAGGTGGGAGGAGAGGGGGCGACGGCGCGGGAAGGGAGGTGAAGTCGCGCGGCGCCCAGGATCGCGGGATCGGTGACCACGGGGTGACGGACGAATGCGAATGGAATAGGGCGTCTTTGGTCTTTGGTGCCATTGGGTGGTGACGTAGGGATTTTTGGTGGCACTGGTGGGTATCTTCCTTTAGCTGTGGCGGGGAATCTTCGGGGGATCATGTGCCACTCGGTGCAATGACACTCGCATTTTTAGCGCTCTGCACGCTGCACCTAACTGATAGGTACCTCACTATTTACCACCCAAGCACCTATTGCGTGCAGCAATTGGCTAAGGTAGGCGTCGCGGGTTTAAGTCGGAAAGCTGTCGCGGGTCTGTCCGATGGCGACAGCGCTGTGTTGCAGGGGATGCTTTTTTCTTTTCTTTTTTTTCTTTCTCAGCGGGCAAGGCACAGACTGTAAGCCACTGCGGTCCCGTCGATTACGGATGCTAAGAACCCACCGTGGAACCTCGCCGTTTATCCACGCCCTTTTTTTTCTCTTATCGTCAACTCCGTCACCCAAACCGTAAATCTTTTTTTCCCTTCCCAAGCTTCATTCGCGATACCTTCAACCACCTTCACCACTTCACTCGTGTGCTTGTCGCGTCCAACCTGCCTTCTTGTACAGTACCTTACTTGCTTCTAACACTTATCTATTTTACCTAATCTCTTCGACTGTACAATCATGGGTTGGTTCTGGGCCGATGCTCCTGCGACAACCGTCCACGCGACGTTCGCCTCGTCGCATCCTCATGGCGCTATCCCGTCCGGCTCTCCTCCTGTATGCTCAAACACCAGTCCAACCAACAACTGGCATCATCTAACATCCCCCAGCCCAGCTGCCCGATGCACCAAAAGTCCGCCGATGCGTTAACGACCGCGAAACCCGCCGCACCCGCTCCCCCCTCCGCCTGCCCAGTCCCTCACGACCAGCGCCACGCCGCAGCAGCAGCTCCTCCTCCCCCCTCAGCATGCCCCGTTCCCCATGATCAACGACACTCCGCCGCCGCAGCACCGCCAGCATCATGCCCAGTCCCCCACGACGCACCAAAGCCCGCCGAGCCCAAGGGCTTCCTCCAGCAAATCAACCCCCTAAACTACATGTTCAAGGAAATCTCCCAAGCGCCCGCCGAGAACCAGGCCGTCGCGCTGCCGACCGAGAGAGAGCCCTCGACGATACCCAGGGGCTCCGGCGACGGAAACTGGGAGTACCCTTCCCCTCAGCAGATGTACAACGCCCTCCTGCGCAAGGGATACACCGACACCGACATCACTGCTGTCGAGTCCATGGTCTCGGTGCACAACTTTTTGAATGAGGGCGCCTGGGCCGAGATTGTCAGCTGGGAGGAGCGCTTTGGCAAGGGTCTGTATAGGGGCTGGCAGGCTTGCAAGCGCGGCGAGGAGAACTCGGAGGATATGGTTGAGAGGCTGAAGGACGGCTCCGAGACGCCCCCGACGCTCATCCGGTTCCAGGGGCGTCCAAAGGATATGACGCCCAAGGCTGTCATGTGGCAGGTTGCCGGCTGGCTCTACCCATCAAAGTTTGAGTGCGTACCTCCTCTAATTTTCGAAACCCTTGTTCAATAGAATGCTAACATACTCGCGCAGAACCGAGCCTCCCTTTGACCGACACGACTGGTTCGTCTCCCGCAAGGTCGGCGGCGTCGAAAAGGAAATCCGATACGTCATCGACTACTACTCTGGCGAGCCCGAACCCACCGGCGAACCCGTCTTCTACCTCGACGTCCGACCCGCCGTCACACCCCTCGGTGCTGCGGAGCGGCTCATTAGATGGGGAGGCGATGTGTGGTGGCGGGCTTCTGGCGCCGAGGTGCGCGAGCAGGAGCAGCTTGCGAAGCAGGTGGCTCAGAAGTAAAGCAAAAAGGGGGCGACGAAGAACAACGAAGCGAAGGCGAACGAAATAAAGTACCGAGATGAGAAGTAGGCAGGCTCTTTTGTCTGCTTGCGGCGTGTATAACTTGGGAGGCCCGATCATGGTGTTTTTGACGGGTTTCAACTCGAAGGCGGCGTTTTGACACGATACAATGGTTCAATTATCTGGGACACTAAAAGAAGAAGAGCATCCTTTCTTCTTCTTTTTCTCTACTCCCCCACTCCTCATGTTTTTAATACTATGCCTATAATGGCCTGTATAGTACGCCCAGAAAGTGGCATGTATTCAACCTCTTTTTCTTCAACGTCGAGACGAAACGAAACGGAGGGAATAAAACAAGATTTGTTTTCAATTCACATTACTTCCAGCCACTAAACCTGTTGTCTCCCGTTCCCCCTTGTGCTTCTGCTTTACAAGCAAAAGCAACGTCTTTCCACCATACAACAAAGTTTAGGTCGTCTTGGCAGCGAGAGCAGTAACCTGATCCAACAATGCTTTACTCTCCTTGGGCGCATTCTTCAACACCTTATCCCTCAAATGATCAACCTGCTGGCCCGCAGCCGCAGGCGGGTTTCCCTGCGCCGTCTGGATCCTCGAAACCTGCATCGAAAGGAAAAACTTGGGCACCTTGATCCCCAAGTTCCCGCCCACGGACCTGATTCCGGCCTCGGTGGCCACGTACGCGTCCAGCTCGTTCTGGAACTTGGCGAGGTCGTTGGAGGCCAGGGGTTCGGTGGTGGCGAACTTGTCGAGGGCAAAAGCCAGGGGCGTCTGGGAGGAGTCGGCGAAGTTGATGGAGGAGAAGGTGACGCCGCCGGCGGAGACGTCGGGGACGTTGGATAAGGTCTTTTTGGAGGCGTCGCAGGTGATTTTGGATTCGAGGGAGGCGGCGGCGTCGGAGACTTCCTGGGGGAGGACGGTGTTGCCTACGATGAAGCAGGCGTTTTGGCGGGGAGCGAGTTGGGGCGCTAATTGATGGTGTGTTAGTTGGTGTTTATGGTGCTAGGTGAGATGATGGGTGCTTGATGAGCATGACTTACCTGCGAGAGCGGCACCAGCGCTGGCGGCGATGATGGCAAGAGAGAACTGCATCGTGACGATTATAGAGAGTCTGATGAACAGAGAGGTGGTTTTTGGAAGTAATGCGAAAGTTGGAAACGAAACGAAGCGAATGCCTTTCCGGAAGGACTGTATGGAGAAGAAAAAGAACGAATAGGTCACAATTAACTTGCTGCTATCTCTCTGGAAACAAGGACAACTCGAGGCGGGACATGATCGCCTTTTAAGCATCACATCACATCACAAGGGAAATAGAGCAGGGATGGGTGTTACGGTGGGTTGCTTGGCAAATAAGCATAGGGCCAGGCCAGTATTAGGTTTCCTGTGCCTGTGCCTGGGCTGGCGGGATGGATCGGTCCCCAGTCCAAGTCTAAACATCGCCAAAACTTGCTCTTGTCACATTTTGTGGGAATCTGGTGTGGTTTGCTCGCTTGTTCCCCTGGTCGAAAGTAGTCTGGGAGATGAGGTTAAGAACTTTTACCTTGGGCGAAGTCAACTTACTTTTGACGAAAGGACCATCTCATGATTCTCCATCATCCCAGGTCTTCGTCCTTCATCCAGAAGAAAATCATAGGCCGGGATCATTGGCCCTGTCAGTACTGAGTCAAAGATCTCGTCTGCTTCGGATGATGGGTGCCGGCTACTAAGAAGAAGGGGGAAAGGATTTAGGTTGGCATAGTCTCAAGGAGTCCGCGCGAAGCGTGTATTCCTTGCCGAGGGAGGCTGTACCTGGCGGCTTTTGGTATGCACACGCCAGTTGAACCGCGACAATGGTAACATTTGCAGAGACGAGGGCTGTGGAGGGCAGACAAGACTGACAAGAGTCCAAAAAGAGAGGCTCTTTGCAACAATCCGAGTCTCGAAGGCTAGTCGGGTCCTCGCTCGATATGGTAAGGCTGTCCCTGACGGCCTACTTTTGAGCCGCTTGTGTCTCGGGCTATTTTGTGGTTCCCTTCCCCTACCCCTACCCCATGTCTCCATCTGAATAAGAGACCCGATGACCCAGTGTCACTGGGCTTTAAGCGACAGACATGACAGGCCAACTCGAACCTTGAAATGGGAAGAGAGAGAGCATGAGAGGGAGTTAAGTTGGTGGGTGAGGTGGGTTGATTGGATGCGAGACAATGGTGGGGTTCACCTCGTCTTTGTTTTTCCTTTCATCCCCTTCGCTTCAGATCCGAGGAGAGCCCCTGGTCCCTGTCTCAACCACAACACCAGACGGGATGGTTTCAGGGTTCGTTGAGCCACACCAATAGCGAAACGGCCTACGGGGATCGTAGATGTTGCAGAGTTGAGGACCGCGGCGCGGGTTGCGACGTCGTGGAAGAGCATCCCTTTTTGTCTTGGTTGTCTTGGAAGGCTGGGGTGCTTGCTGGAGAGTGTGGTTGTATTTGCTCGTGTTCTTCTCCCCTTGAGTTGCTTAGTGAGGGAGATGCGGCTGCTGTCATGGGGGCTTGGCTTCGGGATGTCGGCCGAGAGGTGAGCTGCTATTGAGACGTGAGCGACATATTGCCTCGCTTCGAGTGATCATTTTTTGCAGCTTGCAACGTTGGAGATGAGGAGGGATTTGGATCAATGGTCGGGGTCATGAGTAGCCCTGTGATCCCCGGTTCTAACGCTGGTTGTAGGCAATACTAGCCTCTTGCGAATCTCGGGAGTCTTTAAGAAAAGACGCAACAGCATTGAGAAATGACTTTGTTTCGAGATTGGCTTGAAGGGATTCGAAGCAAAGCCTATATCGCAAACAACTGTTGGACATGTCTCGGGTGCATGGCGACCGTTACTCCCCGGCCCATCATCTGAAGATCAACGAACCGTGCCATTGCCAAGTGGAGATCTTTCAAGTGTCTAGACCCTACACAATACCAAATTTTATCTCAATTGAGTCACCAAAGTATGCAGCTTCTTTTTTGGGTTCTGGACCGAGA